ATCCTTTTTCTGAAAAGAGTCTTCCATTTAGGGAGAAAACACTTGTTAAGAAGACGTACTACATACCTGAAGGTTTCGAATGGCTCCTTAGTTTCAGATGATTGGTGGATATCTCTGGCATCTTCCTTTGTCAAATTGGAAATCTCATATCCATATGGTAGTGCACATTCGACCTTAAATTCAAAACATTTTAGTTAAAGAGAAGCTTGTTTCTGTGGTTTACTGGGAATTAGCACTAGTTACTCCTTTAGCCGTGATGGACAATCACAGTAACCAGTAAGTAAACAATTACAATTAGCAAAGAGTGACCTAGAATCGCTTACTTTTTGAGCGTTCTCCATCTGATCAGGTGTCATGTAAAAAACGTAATGCTCTCGCCGAAGTCGAGGTTGACGACCTTTTGATTGAACAAGATACGTGGCAATCTGTGAAAACAAAGTATTAAGTGTTACATTTCCATATATCTAGTAACCGATTTCTGAAACATATTCATTTTCCGTAGTATGACAACACAGCACTGAAAGGGCTTTGTGAAAAGTTCCTCTAAATGGGCTTCAATGCGGTTGATTTAAATGACAATTCGCGATCGCATGGGCGGAGTCAGGCCCACTACTGCGCCTTGCTCACTGAAACTGATGTCCTTCTAGGCCGGTGAGGAGGAGGGGCAGGTCAGTGAGAAAGGCTAAATTATAGACGCGATTCGACTCGAACGACCTTCGTGTAGTGTGCCTTTAAGTTCGATTTGACTTGTGCTGTGGTCAAAAAGTGAATCGAAGAAATAAAGAGTTTTCAAAAAACAGGTGAGATATGTGGTCCATCATCTATGGTTGAGAAGAACGCACCCGTCATTGGTGAACTGCTCACGACAACCAATTAGAAGCGCTTTCCCTAATTGGAACGCCCTCGAAACATGTGGATTGCGTGGAACTTCCGTCACATAAGTTCTACCATGAACCTACGCCGGCGCTGACTACCTTGAGGGAGAAGGAGGGTGGGGGGTGGGGGGGTGGGGAGAAGCAAAAGAGCTCTTTGTGCAAGTCCCATTTACCGTAATGGAGCTAAGAACGTTAGCCTAAGCCTGAAGACGGAAAGTAGCTCCGGGGTGGATGAATCGATTTTGCGTTCGGGAATCCTATTCCGATGACCCGAATCCCAGTTCTGCCCAAGATGTGCTTCGAATGGACCCCCCCCCCTTCAAGGCTATTAGCGTCTGCACTCTTACCCTGTTCGGTCAGACGACAATGGAAATGGCGCCATTTAATGCCCGAAATAAAACCCTTTCTTCGCATAGCAGCTGTTTCCTGTTTTCATTTTACTTACAAAATAGTGTAACATAAATCGACGGTTTTGAATGGCACGATCATCCACAATCCTCCCGTAGTAGTCACGTGGTGCGTAAAATACAACAGAAAAATAAGCGTGTCATATATTTGTGTAACAAAACCTGTATGACCGTTGAAGCCTTAGCACTCAACGATTACACACTATTTTCGTTACCGTATCATATGATCATCGTCTCAAAAGTCCAAAGCGCACTTTACGAATGGCAGCCGTGGACAATGAATCAGCATGAAACTTCTCACTAGTAGCGCACGGATGACGTCATTTGGGCACTTCTATCTGTGATACTCGCACTTTTGCCGAAGAATGAGCTCTAACGTGGCAAAACCCTTCGAAAAAAAGGGGGGGGAGGGCTGAAAGCTTCAGTAACGGACCGAGTGCTCAGAGTGGGGACCTCACTGGAAGGTTTGTTTTTTAGCAAATATTTGGAACGATTTCGATTTTAGTACTGATCGATAACGTACCTCGTGCATGAGATGAGCTTCAGTGCCGAACTCGATTGGATGATCATTTTTAAGAAGCTGTGTTTCATCCAGAAATAGTTTCAATGCATGGAGAAATGTTGTTCTGTCGTACGAATCGCCTTGTTGAGCAGCTATGACCATTGGTCTAAAGTGCATACAAATAGGCTGAAATTTTGAGAAAATATCCGTGAGAATTTTCAAAAAATCGTCTCCAAACAGTGATTCTAAAGTAGCCATTTCTGGGACGGCAGCTATGATGTACGCAACGCGAATGCGAACGTACCTCACAATTGCCATCCCATAAATGCCTCGTTCTCCGCGGATGATGGGGCGTGTCAGTAAGTCTGGCTTTGGCGCGTTACCAGCCCATCCTCCACCAGTTGCTGAAGCGGGTTAGCGACAGCAGCTGGCGGAAAACGACTGATACGAACGATATGTTACAGTCCTGGAGCTTGCCGCAAGAAAAAAGGAAAACGGGCTGGCACTGCGCCAAACCCATCCCACGTGACACGCCCGACCGTCTGCAGCGAATCAGATTGTAATGTCCGAATGACTACAAAAAACTTCCGAAAAGTCTGAGGTAATGAAGTTTCTTCTCAAACCTTGTAGGAGGTACACCAACAGCCTAAGGCGTCTCCTTCGTAGAATCTTTTTTTGGAAAGAAAAAACGTTCTGAAGTACCAAAACTAGTTGAAAACTTACGCGGCGCCTTTCTGACTGTTTAGAAGAAACCAGTAAGCTGGAGATTTCGAAGGGTAAGCGTAGAGTCGTACGTCACGGTGATATCTAGCCGGATATAGTGCACCATGCATTACAAGTAGGTTCGGATTCGCCTCTAGCATTTCCCCACCTTCTTCACGGGCTTGAGATCTGCACTGAGTATCGATCACTATCATATTCTGAAAGCAATCATTTTTTTGACATTTATGAGCCTAATAAGAAAAAACTACGAACAAACAATTCATTAGAAATTTTCGTAGGCCAGCGCGCCAACAGCTCACATGGGACAAACGAACCAGTGATCACCCTATATATAAGCCTGTTCGCGCTGGTCTGCGAAAATCAAAGCGTCGTGAGGTCGCCTAAGACCATCATTGTTAAAAAAAGACGAAGATCACAAAAACAGCGTACTAAAGGTGAAAATGAACTTCAGTGGCAAGGGGAGGGCAAAACTATGTAAGGCGACAACAATTATTTTATAATTATGACAAAAAATGAGCTCTAGAGTGAAGATCAGAAGAAAGGAACTAAAGAAAAGAGCGACGTATTTGTTTAACTATAAGAGGGCGGCCCCGCTAGATGTCTTTTATACGGAAGCAATTTTCGAAGAACGTCGTCGAAACCGGTATCGCTATTTATAGGCAAATCGACGACTATGATGATATATCGGTAGTTCTCTCACAGAGATTCTCTATCAGAGTCTGTGGATAGCTACTGAAGGTCACAATACAAATTACCTATAACATCTGGAGCTGTCTGGCTGAGGTGTGGGAGAGGAAGAGGGGGGGGGGGGCATATTGCACCTTTCATGGTTCCTTTTGTTATCTCATGTCAACAGACAGGTCTATCTTGGGGAAACCTGTGAGCCATGGTGAAGCTGCAAGATGGTACAGGTGACCCCTAAAGTTACAGGTCACAGGTTCACAGGTCTTTACAAAGTGATTGGCCTGTGAAAGCTTCGCAAAGCACAGTTTGGTGCCCCACCAAGCCACCCAAAATTTTTCTACATCATCACTAATTTATTGCGACAGAAGCTGTTGCTTCCAGATGATCTAAGTTAGGGAGTGGCCCATTCATAGGACAGATGTGGTAAGTAGGGCGTGGTCTATAACCTGTTATGCTTGACGCTTACCCCTGTTATGATGACAATTTCCGTGGATACGGTGAAAAGGAATCAACACCAACAACCGAATAAACAATCAATCAAGCTTCTTTTGTTGATTTTTGAGGGCTACTGACGGGATTGTAGAAAAGGTTGAAAATTGGCATGATAAATGGAAAAGGATCGGGGTTGGTGCAGTAGCAGTTCGCGCCTTGGCACAGCGCGAGTTTGTAGCCAAAATCCTAGGATAGCTCCCATTGGGTCGACATGTCCCTTCTATTCTTCTTTTTCTGAGGTCGGCATAATTGGTACGGACCGCGTCTAGGCACGTGCAGTACTGATCTAGGCATCAGGTGGCATTCGCGTTCATTATGCAGGTGAGGGGGGGGGGCTGTAGCATTCGTTAGCCATTACGATTCCAATGAAAAGACTATGCGGTGCCCTTGAGATACGGGTTTGATAAACAGCGAAGCTTGCCTCACTACTCTGAAGAATATTCCGAGATATGAAGCAATTTTAATGAAGGAGCGAAAACCTATCGCTTTGTTTGGACTTACTATATGGCTGTGATGTCAGCTCAACAGAAAGTGGAGATCTGCCTGTTTAACTGTACTTAATTAAATAGATGTCATTAGAGAAGCTACATAAACCAACAATCTGGCAGACTGATATTTTGAGATTACGGTGCTTGACGGATTCGGGCGAGAAAAATTAGTGGCAAGAATCGTTAGGAACACCTGCCAGTAAAAAGACAAAACGTCACCCCAGTTGTGGTCTTTTTATAGCGCTAGGGTCGCCCGCCAACGATAACGATGGAATTCACACGTGGGAAAACTCGTGAAACGGCTTTCAGAAGGATATCAAGTTTCAACGCTTCTTCCTGGGTTTCAACTTCCTTTCAGGATTCTAGAGTTCATAAGAATTGAGGACTGGCCTTCAGCACTCCTTTCATGGGTCGAAAATTTTGGACATACTAAAAAAGGATGCAGGGTAACTCATGGAGCTACTTGTCGTAAACCCGAAAAGATGCCAACCTCCGCAGTTACAACTTTTTATTGAGACCCTACATTTTTGTGGACTTCCTAGATGGGCTCAGGCGGTTGTTCAAGAGCATCTCGCACAGTATATAAACAGCCCAAACTTATGCCCACCAGGGTTTCGAGACTTTCTACCGAACCACTCCCGAACACTTGCAAGAGAGAACAGTACTCGTTTTGTACAACAATGAAACAGTAAAAAATAGAAGGCTCAGCATACTAACTAGTGAGGTTGAGGGAAGGGAGAACCTGAAGAATTAATGATATACCAAAAACCCGTCTGTAAAATCGTTACTAGCTTCCCGTTAAATGACTGACACTAAATGAGAATGTCTCAGAATTTTTTAAGCCCTGTAGTGTCTCAAAGGTGTCATCAAATGAGCTATTCGGGGAATGAGGAGAAGTCACCAGAAATAAGAGGTCAGGTGGTCGATGATAAGGGAGCGGCCGAAGGAAATGATGACAAGGCACTACCCATATGACTACACAAAAAGAGACACGTGAGACCGGTGAGATCACTCAGGTTGGCACAGGCCTACCAAAAAAAAGGTGGAACAGTGGCTTTGGAATCAGAACGACAACTCAGAGTGTCTCCCAGTGATCGTCGAACGGATGTCCTTTTATATTGCAGTGAGATTGCATCATGCATGATGACATAGACATCTCACGCGATACGCGCGTCATTCTTTGAAACGTTGGGACATCCGTGAGACATAAATCACACATCTACAGTGAGCCAGCCTTACAAAAGGATCACTTCATGATTTCTCGGTTCCAGTAGGTCTGCTGAGGATCTTTTCTGGCGATACGCTAAAATTAGAAGCTGGACCTTACTGGGTATGACAGGGGGGGCCAAAAAAAAGTCATTTTGCCTCCATGACTTTCAAGGCGCTATAAGTTACACTTTATTAAATTTTTATCGGACATTTTTACTACCATATTAAAGAGCACATTAAATACTATAACGATACTCCGCCACAGCCTTCTGGAGGAGCGCCATCGAGAGATTCGGCCGCGCGAAAGTGAGTGGGTACCGGAGTTGAGCGAGATCGTTGATTTCTCCGCCACTGTAGACCACCCTGTTGAGCTCCGCCCGAACCGAGTAATTGAGGGGTTTAGTTTAGTGACCCCGCTTGAATACTCTTTTCCAGGTACTCAACGTTCTTCCATTCCAAGTAGGCGAAAGTTTTTCCAACGCCCTTCGATTAAATGTGTTGTCACCCAATCCTGTAGCAGTACAAAGTTTCCAAGAAGGTACGGGCGACGACATGAAGATGGGATATTCTCCTCGAGTTGCTCGATGTAGCCACCAGCGCAACACTCTGGGCCCACAAAAAATATCGGTTTTCATCCATTCCAGTACGGCCGGTCCACACCATCAACCCGCGCCTTGGTGAATGGGGTGAAGATGATGTCCTGGACCGTAGCGACGTTGCCGGAGCTGCTCGATGTTTGAGGTCTTGCAGATCAAGAGTACTGGTCTCCAGGTAGCTATCCATGGGTGATTCCATTCAAGAAGTTCCGCAGCTGTTTGGAGGCCACGTGAATTCCAAAGGCGTTCTCCACTCAGGCCGCGACTGGAGATGACTTGTACATGAAGGTGAATGGCGGCAGCCGGCTCCTGCTTATAGAGGAAGATCTTGGGTATCTTCCGCCCTGGTACTCATATCCACTTCCTCTGTCTGGGCTGCGAAAACTTCGCTCATATGTGACTCGGCCCGGAATGACCTTCTTTTTTTTGGCTCGCCCCCCTGTATGCGATATGAGGCATATTATCCTTTAAGACTTCCGTACAACCTACGCTACTCAGAATGGGAGCGAAGCACAGTTCTTGATTTATTGGGCCAGATTTTTGGGCCCCATCTCTGATGCCTTTCATATCGCCCGCATAACACGGCCTTCCGCAACCACGATTTAAACTCTTGGCTCTCGGGGTCTCTACTGAGGGAACGGGTTGCGCTACAGTGTATTTTTCTGGCAGCGTTGGATTGAACATGAAATAGAAGTAAGGGGTGGTGGCTTGGTAGCAGTAGCTCTTGTCCAGTTAGATCTATGCTAAGCAGCGAGTCAGTGTCATAGCAGCAGGTGCTGAATGGAGCGAAACCATGACGAAACGGTCTGAAAGGCGCAAATTGGGACGCTTATATACCTCCTCAATTGGAAATTTGACGTCATAATCAAATAACATGTTCACAATAGATTGTTGGTCAGCGAGTAATGCAGGAAACATGACGATTGCAACGTGACCATGATAAGGCATAATTTTAAACGACAGCAAACTTCAAGATCATATCAGCTGAAAACAGCTGATGCAATCCTAATCAATCACTGGCTTGAGCACCATTTGTAGAACAGCGGTTCCCGGAAGAGCAAAGAGCGTAGAGACTGCTAGATATTGCTAAGTCACCAGGAGCGCGCCCTTGTTCAATGAGGCTCAAGCATAGCGCCGCCAGGAGCTCGCATTCTTTCGCTTCCAATGCATAAATCCTGTACAGCCCAGTTATAACTGCATGGCCTTGAGCTGAGGCTCTTCTTAGGAATTGTTATTTGCGCAAGCTCTATTCCTTGACGAAATTCCTTGACGAAACCCTGTTTTAGAAAAGCAAGCTCAGTTTGCTGCAGCATTATTCTACAGTACGCCAACAGATTCTGGAACCCCAAGAACCACATCCTCCCGCTCAAAGATGCTAGTTATGCCATCGTTACTTGTATACATCATGATTCTAGCAACAGTGAACTGACGCAAGAGATTCGAGTAGCCTCTGGCCCGTGACAAAATGCTCGCAACGCGCCCTCGAGCGGTAGGGCCCATCTCTCGTCGCGCAATGAAACCGTGACACTATCATTGTGAAGCTGCTTCATGTTGGGCTGCCTGAAGTGGCCGCTAGAAAGAATGCAGTGTTCATTTCAGGCCCTTCAAGTCATGATAAGAGATGTCATGCGCAAAAAGAGTAGTCACGGCTTTGTAGAAACAACCATGTCCAATAGTGATAAAGTGCAGAACATAATATACCTATAGTTAAGCTAGTAAAACATG